ATAACACTGTATGTTAATATGCAAATGTAATTTTTGTTTTTATTAATATTAACCAGTTCAACGACATAACATCTTTATTGTTCCGATTTGAAAAGATACATTTGACTTTTCTAAGTGACAATGCAAAAAAAAAAAAAAAAAAAAAAAAAAAAAAAAGGGGCAAAAATGCATTCAAACTTAAATAAATTTTAAATGGAAACAATAAAAGAGCATCTCTTTTCTTGGCACCAGAGTGCTAATAGTCTCGATCCTCACTTTTTGGTGCGTATCATTTTTGTGTCCGTATCACTTTTCAAGTAACAGGATGTTACTACCAAATTAGCGCCACGTATTCTTTTTATAGAAATAATATAGCAAATATAAGAAAAGTATGGTAACGCTTAATACCCTATCTGGAATTCTAAAATTTATCTGGAATTTGCTTTTAAATATTTTGTCATATTACTATTGAATTTTATGGAGCGTAAGGTTTGGTTTGGTTTATTAGATTACGGCAAAGCACTCGAGGGCTATCTGCCTTAAGGGAGGGATGCCTTTGTGGAGGACTTTTTAAGGGAAACTGGCTCGTATACACGTTACACATGGGGAAAACCACGAAAACACCCATGCAGCCAGCCCGTTATTATGGAGCGTAAGTGCGAAGTGCTTAATAAATAAAGTTTCTGATTTATAGCTAATGCAGTAATTACGAAAAAGGGATCGATATTAATTTTATTACATAACTAAAGTACATCTCTAAAAATACATCTGTTCTTTAAATCTCTAAAAATAATACGTGGATTATCAACAATAATCAGAAAGCTATTAAAAACATTCATAAATGAATTTACGGCGTTCACTGGTATGATTTTGAGAACTTACACATTACCTTGCCACTTAATGAAATTTACAGTAATTTAATTGAAATCTATTACCTATTTCCCAGAAATAAAACTGATTTTGATAAGAGGAACTCTTATCTTAATGTACACATTTTCATAATTTTATTAAATATCATAATAGAATTTTTATGCAAATTAACTGCATTCTTGTTGGAGCCAACTACCCAACAATTACCATAAACCAGAACTTTCACCTACATGTATATTGACGAAATCATTGCTATAATTAATGACAATGAAAATGAAAAACAAGATATTTATCATAAATCTATTTAATTTAATAAAATTAACAAAGATGGCGCCGAGCAGATTATCTTCAGTTATAAATTTACAGTCCCAAAAATATTATTTGAATATTTGATAAAGAAGACTTTTCGATTTCAAAACAATTAAACTAATTAATTGCATTAACTAATAGTACCTTCGGAAAAATTACTGCTAACACTATTATTAATGAAACAAAAAGAATCAAGGTATTTGTAATAACAACAATGATTTTGCAAAAGAGCTTAGTTTATTAATTAAAATGCTAAAGGATAGCAAAATTCCACGTAATTTCATCAAGGAACAGCTAGCTAAATTACTAATATCAATCTAAAAATTATTTTCACCATTAAAGTGCTGTTTTTCATGTAGGCTATACCTAAACCATTATGACGGTACAATCTGGATGTTCTTTACACAAAGGAATTAGGCATTCTTGCCAAAATTCTTTAGTTTTAAATTAGATTAGACGGTCTAATAATTTTCTATATCGTTTATTAACAAAATTGGCCTACTTCGGCTTCCAAATCTCGAAAAAGCTCACTTGAGCGACCTCGATATTCTCTAACATTTGACAACTTTTTTCTTTTTCTGTCTTTTTTCCTCTTTTAGGTAACTATAGTTTGTAGCATTTCTGAGAAATTTCTCATTTACATTTACTACTGACAACTTTGCTCACACTTTACTAGACAGTACCCTAACTTCATCATATTTATTTAGCTTCTTCGAATCTATTTATTTATTCCTGCTCACAAAGTAATACAGTCACCAAGCTGTTGAAATACTAGTAGCTTTTTTGTAAAACAGGGATGCGAAATATATGAAAAAGTTTGCAAAACGCTGCTCTAGAAAACAAACTTCTTCGGAAGAGACCATCGCCAAATCATCGCGCCAGAGCTGTCGCCAAATGAGTTAACAACCCTGGCGCTGTTGTGTCTATTGTATTAGGAATGGGAGAATGCAATTTGATGGACAAATGAAATGATTTGATGGTAATGGCGATGATAACGACGTTTCGGAAGGAAGATTTCCTTTAACGTATCCTTTGATCATTTGTGCCTACCTCCCCGGATGTCCTTAAGTATTCTCTTGCAAACTGGAGAAACAAAAAATTAGGTTTCGCATTGGACACAATTTAATTTGACAACTGAAATTTTAGCATTATTTTATTAATTATTCCTGATATCTCCATCAAAGAAACAATACATTGGCAGGCAGATAAGTTTGAAAATTATTATAATGCGCATATTTTACAAAATTTAGCAGCTGATTTTTTTATTACATAGCTTCCTCTTCCAAAAGAAACACAAGTAAAATGCTCATAAGAACGGTATAAAAATCGTTATGATCCTCAGTTATTTACTTGAAATGAATTTTAGCAATGACCCATAACTACTTACTTAAATTTATCATATACTATAATTTATCATTAAAATTAAATTATCGCAAATTAAACTAATCATATATAATTTATCGTTATATATTTTTCAGATGAGATAATAACTCGAATATGATCCAAAACTAGAAGATAGATTGAAAATCATATGTGGGAAAAAAAAAGAGAGAGAGAGACAGCAAATATGAAAATCTTCTGCAGGATGCAAATTCAGATTTTTTTTTTTTTTTTTTTTTAATCAAAATTTCTATTCGGAAGGTAAAATTATACATTAAATACGACGACATAATAAAACATAATTTCAATCAACAGTTTATAGAGTAAATATATAATATCCTTTTAGTTTGCATGACAAGCCGAAAACAGTAATATGATTCTTAAAATAATCAACTATACCTTTTTAACCCAAAATGGCCTCCTCCTCCTCCCTCCTTTTTTAACCCAAAATGGCAATTAATTTCGTTTTGGTATTTTGCGTTAGTTCACTATAAGCGGCGTTTCACTTTTTCAGATTGTTGCCACCAAATATTAGAGCCCAGTATTATATTTAAAGAAATTAAATAATGAAGAATCTATATGAATGTATGTATGTTTCTGGCATTGTGAAAAAACAAACGATACCTAGAGACATCAAATTTTGAATAACGTAGTCCTCCATTCAAATATGGGTTTCTGGAAGTTTGGAATTTGTTTTATTATCCATTTCATATTTTGTAAAACTTTAATGAATTTTTGATTAACAAACTCAACGATTTCAAAGCCAGCAATGGCAACACTGTACGGGGAGGGGGAAATATCTCCAGCTTGCGAAACTGTGTATCGGAAATTCTAAAGATAGGCTGTTTTAAAATTATTTTGTGATATTACTGATGAATTTAATTTTATGGTTTAAGTTCGAAGAACATGATATTTAATAAATAACGACAACACACAAAACGCCCTTTTGGGAGTAATATAAAATCTGAAAGCTTTCAGATTTTCTTATCTTTCATGTAAATTAAAATCAAAAGTATATTTGATTTTTTTTTTCAGTCAGTCAAAAAAGGGGGACAGAGATTATTTCAGATAAAGTAGAAATGCAAAATTTTCCATTTTCTGTCACTTTTCCGGTTTTAATAACTGTTTTTAGTAGTCACATCAATAAAATAAATTAAGTATTTAAAATTGTTTATGATAGCCTGATAACGTGTAAAATACTTTTCATCAGATTGTCAAAGCAGAAGACAAAAATTTTGCAGAGTGCAGAAAACTAATTCATTATTATATTAATTAATCTTCCTCGAATTTTGTTATGAAACAAAATAAAACATCAAAATTTATATCCAGAGCGCAAGACAGTGTATCGGAAATTCTAAAGATAAATTCATTTAAAAATTATTTTACTATATTGCTGTTGAGTTGAATTTTATGGTTTAAGTGCGAAGAACACGATATTTAATAAATAAAGGTAAGACACAAAATGTTAAAAGTACGCCCTTGGGACGTAATTTAAAATCTGAAACCTTTCAGTCCCCCCCCCCGAAATGTGTTTAACGGAAAGATTAAAAGTGTCCTCTTGAATGATAAGAATGGTATAGTAAAAATAATGATGCAATAAGAATAATTTCATGAGTCAAAATACATTGGAATAATATAACAATTTTCTGCAAATCAGAAAGTAGCTGTAGTTTTTGTCATTTAAATGAGTCTGAAAAGCTATTTATTATATGAAGAATTATCAGAAAATAAAATTTGTTTACACAATCAAAAGATGATTGTAAATATTTTTCAACGTGTATATAGAGTCTTACTGAGACAGTGATCTTAGCGTTTCTTTGGGAACACTTTTTGGTGCTCCACCGGTAAATCCCTTATTATGTCAACCAATTTGTTATTGTATCCGTTAGAATTTAATTTTTGAGTTTTCCGTAGCAGGCATTGCTAATGCAAAATACCAGTATGTAGTACAGATAATAGACACGGCCGGCACGACCGGTGCAACCAGTGCGACGGCACCGGCCGGCGGAAGGCAGAATTTTGGATTTGCGGAGTTTGCACCAGGTGGCAAAAAATCTAGCGCCAGTCCTGATAATAGATTTACGGGTTGATTTCCAAGCCAAATAAGGCAACCAATAACGCATAGACAGAAAAGTTTCTTTCATAAAGGTTTTCATATTATTCTGACCTGAAAACAACGCTTTTAGAAAAAAAAAATACAATTATCTTAACATAATTCCTTCTTGTTACTTCACCGTCAAGCGAAATCAAAATGTCTTAGAGAGAGAACAACAATTTAATGCCCAGAGATCTCTTTTTTATTCCCGCACGATGGCGCTAGCGGCGATTATTTCATTGAGCCAATGAGAAGAGCCGGAAGAAGAATCGTCTGCCGGAAGAACACGACAAGGGGTGGAAGCCGGCGAAAAGTAGGGGGAAGGGATCTTCGGGTGATAGGGAAGAGGAGGGTGTGTTGAGGAAGGGTCGGAAAGCGCGTGGAGATCATTTTCGAGAATCGCGGGGTTTCTATTCAGATGTCCACCACATAAGAGCACTGATTGACATTTCAGTTCTAATCCCGAGAGGCTTTAAGCATTTGACAGATCATCTGGAGGCCGAAATTTATTTTCCCCCGCCTTCTGAGATATGAAAGGTAAATAAATAATTTTTTAATCAACTAAACAATTAGCATTCTTAATGGCGAAAAATTTGTATGTTTACATCACAGTTGTGGCAATGGTCCTGTTATTCTAGACTTATTATGTAATTCTCTATTTATATGTCATAATGCATAATTAAAGTTTGCCATAATGATTCTCGTTATTCGTGAGATTCGTTAAATTTCTTTGGAATAACAATTTACTAGAGAAAAAAAGTTTGGAATTTATATTCTCCTCGAATAAATAATAAGAAACTTGTTCCGGGAGAAAGTGTAGTATAATAGCGTGATTTATTATAATAGCCATCAATTTCCGTAATAAAGTTTTTACAGATTTCTCAGTTTACATAAATAACTAAGAATATTCAAATTAAAAATGTTCTTTAAAAAGTCATGCAACTGAATCATTGAATAAATCATTAACTCAACACACCTGGGTTAATTTGTTATTAAATTTCAAAATTTTCTGCATCTTAATTTTGAGACAGTTTTACGTCATTCATTATTCACTAACGTAAAATTATCCTCCTAATACAAGATTTTCATAACTAAGCAATTAACAAAGCGAATTTTGTAAAATTTTTAGAATAGCCGATTTTTCACACTATGGTCCAGAAGGTTATTAATGTAATAGATCTTATAAATTTCACATTGCTATCATAATTGAAAACAGGTCAGAAATGTTTTCCTGGGTGTCTATTTAGGTTTAAAGATAAAAAGAAATTGAAATGAAGAATATTCTTTTTTAATAATTTAAAATGTTAAATTTCAATATTATCAAACATAAAAGCAATAAATTTCAAACTAATAGATTTTAAACTTACCTAAATTTTTATTAGATAATACTAAATACTTGCTCTGTATCATTAAGGCAAATATAATAATACATTTTAGTACTGATGTTAAATGAATTTTAATACAAAGATACTGGAAACTGATATTGAGGCACAGAGTATTCTCGCGAATTTAGACAGATTTCAAATATATTTTTTCCCCCATTTCTTATATAATTCATATCCTTTTTTTACACGTTTTTGATATTGTAAAATTTAAAATAATTAAAGAACGCTTTCATAGCTGAACAAAAGAATAAGAAATTATGTGTTTGATATGGCATATAAATTAAATCATTATGCATAAAATCCTCACAAATTAAAATATTTCATCTGTTGTCGGTAGAATATTAAAATTTGAAACAGTTTAAAACAATGAAAAATAGAAAGCCGAAACAACATAATTTTAGGTTTCAAACCCTTTTTGGTACTTATGCAATTTCTCTGTGTTTGCATTATGTATTTCGTTTCTTTGAATGACCATAAAATCTGTGCTTTCTCTCTTGTGGTGTATACATTCTCCTTAATATCCGGTCGAATAAAACATCACGTACAAAAGTACTGGAACAAACACATCAAAAGTAAACATAACATTGCAATAGTTGCCAAAAACAAAAGAGAGAAAAATGCAATTAATAAGCAGACGAGATTTAGAAAAAGTACAGATATTTAGACTGAAAATTATCTGAAAATTAACCACACGCGCAGACGATATTTACAAAAGTAAAGATATTCAAACCTGAAAAGGGAAATGCATAAGTTATTCCATCAATAAATGCCTAAGTTTGTTTATTATATTTTCATTATTTGATGAGTTATTAAACATCAAAATGGGTCCGGGACTTTATAAACACTCTGTATATATATATTATTTCATATTGCATTATTACCATCATTGTTGCTGCTATCGCTACACAACTGGATTAGGTTTTGAACCGTTTTTTCTTTACAATTAGCCCTTCTCATATAGAGAGAGCGGTAAATAGATAGATATAGATTTTTTATATACGCAAATAGCACAATTTGTTAATTTCTTTCCTTATCTTCAGCTCAAAAGAGCATTATTACCCTTTTGAAAGGACTTTTATAATATAGTATTTTGTCTACCTTTGTCACCAAAAATAAGTAAATAAACAAATAAAATAAAATAATAAATTTTGTCAAATAATTAATAGACTAGAAATTTAACAGCATTCTTTGAATTACAAGTATAATGACTTATATTGATACCTGAAATTGGTTTAACCCTTTGGATTTCTCTCACGATTAATAAATAAAGTATCCGTGGTTGTCTTTTGTAATTTACAACAACTGCTATCATATAAATGGTCATTCAGAGCTGGCTGCATTTTAAAATGTCAGCATATAGTATTCAGGGGATGTCATCTGCCATTCAGTCTCGGTTCACTTTAAATTTGAAACTTTGCTAGATTAAGTAGTCCAGAAAATTTAGAATATAGTGTATAAAACAGTCTACCATAAAACTTAAAAAGAACTTGATTCTGAAACGTTCGTTTATTTTTAATGATTAACGATTTCAATCAGTTATTTCCAAATTAAAAGTTGCTTCCTCCTAGTAACTGATATGAGTTAAAAATTAAAGGAATATTAAAGTTATTGATAGTAGACCTATTACTATTTCTTTGCACTATTAGTGATATAAACTTAAATGGACAAAGATAATGAAATAGCATTCAAGCATAATCAAGATATTTATTTCCCATTTTTTCTTGATCTAAAATACCCGACCCTTTGAAAATTCAGTTAGGAATGTATCTAGGAAAATCCTTTTATTATATCCAACATGTTCCATACATATACTGAAACCTCTTATAGAAATATATTTGCTTTCACTTACTGTAATCATCTTTAATTAACTGATCATAAATAGGTCACTTACAGAGGTTGTTCGCACGTTTTTTAGACGATTTTGGTAAGCGGTAATAAAAAATCGTTTGCTGCAAAAGAAGTAATTGCAATTGTACTATGTTTTTAAAAGTCAAAATTATCGTCTGTGGCTTAAAAGTTTTGTTTTTATTCAAAATGGCGAATTTAACAAAGCAGTGGATCGAAGGCTACATTTACGCTCTTTCCGAAGAGAAATATGCATACTCCGTTATCCAAAAACGATGTGAGAGTCATGGTTTTGTGATATCTAAAGCGTCCTTAGATAATATCATCAACAAGAAAGGAAAAAAAGTCAAACTGGAGCCTCAAGTGGTACAAAAATTCCAAACAAGTATCCAAGGAAAAAACGGATATCTTCGACTATTGCAAAGGTACGTTGTTTAATGTTAAAAGAAAATCCCCCTAGTCAAAGGAAAGTTACAAAATCATTAAAATGCTTGGTGTCCACTGTAAACAAAATGATAAACGTTGATTTAAATCTTAAGAAAGCGAAAAAATGCAATGTGCATCGTCTTCTTCCAAAGCATATCGCTCGACGCAGGACACTCTGCAGAAATCTATATGAGAAACACTTATTCAAAGAAAAATGGAAAACAATTGTCACAATAGATGAAGCATGGGTGTATTTAAATGACTGTAATAAAAAAAAAAGAGCCATTTATTATCATAAAAGGGGAGAAAAAAATTTAAGTACATGGTTCAAAGAATCGAAAGAAAGTTTTTCTAAGGGATTCATGATTGTTGCTGGTTTTTCTTATAATGGCAAGTTAAAAATAAAGAGAGTGCAAAAAAATGTCAAGATTAACTCCAAATACTATCAGGAACATATTTTATCGCCAATTTTTCTTAATGAAATACCATCGCTTTACCCACAGTGCCATCCATCTGTGAGACTAAATCAGGACAAAGCTAGCAGTCGCACATCAAAATCCACTGTAAATTTCCTAAAAGAAATGGAACAAAAAACTGGTATCAAGGCCATAACCCTTCACTGATATCCCTACTAAATCTCTAGATTTGTCACCTAAGGATTTTTGTGCTTTCGGACTTTTAAAAACTGCATTATCCAAATGTTGTCCCAAAACCCTAACAGGACTCTGGAAAGCTGTTCGGGAGGAATGGGATAGAATATCTCTTCTACCACTTCAAAAGGCATTATTATCCTGGAAATTGCGGTGTCGAAAAATAGTTCAGAATAAGAGATGTCAAGTAGAACATTTAAAACACAAAGAATTTTATGTAATTTAGTTTTGTGAATAGAATATACATCGTCTAAAAAATGTGTGAACAGCCTCTGTACAATAATAAATTTATAATCCAGTTTTTTAAGTGTATTTATAGCGATTTGCTAAACATAGAGAAAGCATACAATGCTATTAATTAGCTTGCGATTTCTTTCTGCGAGGGTACATCAGGAGCTAAATTATATATATCACATAACCCCAACTCTGAGGCGTCGCATCAGTAAAGAGGTCAGGACAATTCCACCTGAAATTTGAATGAAAGTAACATCATCGATGACAGTGTCGTTCGTTGACTAAATCAATACATCACAAAGAACGGAGTTAATCTCCCAGATGTGATTTTAAAAAAATCAACGAAACATAAAACATAAAATGGCATTATGTTTTTTATCAATTACCCCTCTTGTCCTTTACATTCCCTGTGTAGTGTTTGTTACTGTAGAACTTTTAATAAAATGGTAGATTTTTTCTGCCGGACCCTGTACAACAAAATTTCTGATATTCTACATAGATTTTTATGTAAAAAGGTAATGTGATCTGGAAAATTATAGAAATGCTTTCAGAAATACCATCCTAAATGTTTAATTGACTGTCTCAAGTTCATTAATCAGAATTTGAAACGAATTTCCTGTTTTTGTGTGTTTAACTAAATTTTAAAAAAACATGTAAAATAAAGATAAAAAAAAAAGTGTGAAAGCTTTCAGATTTTAGGTTATGTCCAAAGGGGCTTTCTTTTTAACATTTTGTGGGTTAAATTTCTTCGCACTTAAACCATAAAATTCAGTTCAACAGCAATATCGCAAAATAATTTTAAAATAAGCATATCTCTAGAATTTCCGATACACATTATTAAAAATTCGATGGCTCTATGTACCGCTGTTTTATCACAATGCGAGAAACATAAATACATTTATGCAGATTCTTCATTATTTAATTTGTTTAAATATAATACAGGGCTGTAATATTTGGTGGCAACAGTTTGAAAAGTGAATCAACGTAGAAAGTGAAT